CAATATTCAGTTATAAGTCCGTTTTTAAAATGCGGAGTTTTTGATTTTTGAAGTTTCCGCACGTTTTGAGCAACCTTAATTAAATCATCCTTTGTTTTTGGAACGCCCAAATTAAATGACATAACAAACCAATTGTTCTTCTTCAAATTTTTTGGACCAGTTTTTTTCAGACTTTCTCCGTTTTTGTCGTTTTTTTAAATGCTATTGAATTGTTCGTTCTGGTATGCCATACTATTTGGAGGCAGCATAAACTGATAAGAATTTTTCGGAATTTTTTTGCAAGGCCTCCTGTATAGGAACAGTTTCATATTTTTTATCTTTTTGAGATAAAGCGGCAATGTTGCATCAACTTCACCAAAAGTATTGAAATTATCCATGTTTACATTATGAATTACATAAATTACTTAATTTAATCAAAAATTAACTTCTTAAAATATATAAACTTTTCTTTTAAAATGCTGCAAAAAACAATTTTTTTTTTACCGCTAAAATGTATTCATTGTTTACATAAATTTGAAAGTCGTTTATTAATTGAATAAATATTTAATTCCCATTGAAGAATCAAAAATATTAAAGATAAAAATGTATTCGCAAATATCATCATCGAAGATAATATCCATTAAATGTAGAATATAATGAAACACTTGAATCACCTCAAACTTTGTTTTACAGAAGAAAAATTCAATCCTTGAAATTTAATTGTAGACAATAATTGTTTGATTTTTGTTTAGATTGGTTTTGGACACATTTTTACAGGTTTTGTGAGCTAGTCAGAACATTTCAAGTACTTTATAGTTGTTTTTTTTTTAAAAATAAGTGTACAACGCAAAAAATACATACCGCAAAAAACAAATCTTTCACTCTATTACTAAAATTAATAAATACAGTCGATTTATTTTTATGTATTTTGCCAAAAATAGATAAAGGTGTTTCTATTTATTTAATAGAATTCAATTTTTTTAACAGCAAAAATTCAACATTACTTTGCGAAACTCTGGAGGAGGGGGGGGGTCATGGCTTCTTCGACTCCCCGTCGCTGTTGCCCATGTCTACTAATTGTTAATTACAAGAATACTTTCTGTCGTCATGAATTTGTCAACTTTAATAAATTCGTATTTATACATGCTGATTTAAAATCATATTTAAAACTTATTGGCTATTAGCTTATACAAATTTTGTTTTAGCTTTAATGTTAAGTTATTATGTATAATTAAAATTATTTACAAGCTTGTTATTTGAAAATATCGCAAGTCTGATTTAAATGTGGATAAAAATGTGGAAAATAGATAAAAGTAAAGTATATTAATTGTTACAGCATTATTTTATGAAAATTATAATAAATAAAGTAGTTAAATAAATAGAAAAAAATCCAATAATCTTGTACAAGCGTCAAAAAAAAAGCACTCAAACTTTCAAATAGAATAGTGCGTTTAATCCCGCATTCCAGTGATGTAATGTTTAAAAATGATGTATGCGCTCGGGTAACGATAAAAGTAAATAACAAACACACCTTTTCAAGATGTAATTGAGAACTTGAATGTTGTAATTAAGAAACGTAAGATCTAATTGAGAAATACAACATGTAATTTAGAAATCGCAATATTTAATCAGGGGCGTGGAGTCGTAAAAAAAAAGTACTTGACTCCGACTCCAGTAGTTGAAATTTTTTGAGTACAACTCCGACTCCGACTCCAAAGCAAAATTTTTGAAAAACTCTTTGAATTTTTTAAAAAATATTACGCGATAATTTGAATTTTTTTTTTTAACAAATTAATGAAACATTCTTTGAGGTTTAGCATGAACATAAGGTTAATTGAATGTTTTGTACATGCACGTGCAATACCGAGAAGTTTTACTATTGGAGTCGGAGTCGCAATTTTGTTTAGCGACGCCGACTCCGCTGAAAAGTCCCAACTCCGCAACTCCGACTCCACAGCCCTGCATGGAATTAGGAAATTTTAAAACGTAATCGAGTAACCCAACATGTAAATAAGAAATCGCAATATGTAATACGAAAAACAAAAGTTGTAATTAAGAAATCGTAATATGCAAATAAGAATACATTATTTGTAATTGCGAATTCACAATATAAGCTTAAGGTTCATTATAAAAGATCTTCCTGAACATGTATTTTACTAAGTTAATAACATCGAATTTAGCATTTGTATGCACCAGCGATACATTGACCCAATAAGAAAAAAGACGTCTTTAAAAGTCTTATTTACAATGTCTTTAAGACGTCTTTTTTTAATCGATTATGCAAATTTATGCAAAAACATCTTTTTTCGACATCGAAAAGACGTCTTTTTTTATCTTAATCTTGTCATGAAAAGACATAAAAAATGCGTATTTAAGACGTCTTTTTTTAGTCGAATATGCAAATCTAAAAAAGTGTTTTTTCTCGGGGTCGTAACGACTTTTTTGCCATACTCATTAGTATGCTATAGTATCCTATACACTATAGTATTCCTACTATTTTTTTTCCCCCTCTCAGATTTGCAATGAAAGCCAAGTTATTGAAAACACGTATTGATATTTTTCTGTCTTCTATAACATGACTTTTTAATTAAATTTTGCTAAATATAAGTGTTGTAGACTCATAACAATTTAAAAATCCGTCATTGACTCAAGACCATCAAAACAAAAAGATAATTCAGCTAATACACCTTGAGAGTTGTTACTCATTTAAAAAAGGATTAGTCAAAGCTCTATTTTAGCCTGAAACATAACGATGCTTTACTTAACAACATAAAATCATAAAAACTGCCGATATCATTAGCAACGCAGATGAAATACATATAAACAAAAATGAAGACTAGAAAGCTGCAATGATGTTTAGATATAAGAAAGTGTACCTTTCCAGTATCATTTTCACTTGGTTTTTTGTATCCAAACCAAAAATTTTTCGAACATTTCTAAAGATAAATCTGTTGTCATTATGTGTATTTTTATAATTGCTTTAATAATGACAGACAACAGTTAACAAAGAAATAACATATTTAACATAAAAGTTGAAGAGCCAATCTTTTGTATAAACAATTTCATCATTCAACTAAATAAAAACAACAAAATTATTCAGATCATTTAAAAATATTAAAAAAAAGTTGCAAGCCTACTGAATGCTTCTCTTTTTCTATCGTTCGTTTCACTGGCACTTGAACAAGTAAATATAGAGAGAAATTTTAATTTAATATGTAATAAACAACGTTCTTCAAGCACAATACATTAAAAAATTAGTCTAAAAATAAATGGTAAAACTTTTTTAAAGCACTTACCTGCGACTAACTTAATTGAGACTAGATCATACCAATACCATCTTACTGGCACTACGCCATCCACTTTTGCTTCTTCCGATTAACATTTTTTAGCTAACTAGCTGAAATTGTATATTTATTTCAGTATATATATATATATATATATATATATATATATATATATATATATATATATATATATATATATATATATATATATATATATATATATATATATATATATATATATATATATATATATATATATATATATATATATATATATATATATATATTTATATGCATTTATATTATGTATATTTTACATAATATATTACTTTATTATATAAATTATTAAATAAATTCGCTTACCGAAAAAAGTTAACTTTTAATTAAATTTCCTATGCAAAAACGTTTCACATAAAAGTTATATTAAAGTATTTTGTAAACAAAAAACGGGCCAATCAGAACGTAACAAAGATCACAATTACGATACTGTGGGTTAAAATCCATTTTTGTTAGGTTCTATTGGCAATAATTATTTTTAATTTTCTTAAGCAAATAATGATTTCCTTATTAACAACCGATTGACGTCTTTTCGACCTCTTTTTTGATGACGTCTTTTTAAAAGACGTCTTTCCACGTCTTTATTTTGGCTGATTATAAAAAGACATAACAAGTCGTAAAAAAGACGCCTTTTATTCGTCTAAAGATGTCTTCTTTCCCACTGAGAATACAGTAAAGATCGTTGTGTTATTTGTCAATACACTATGAACATAAAATCTGTTATTAAGAAATTGTTATTATAAATTGAATCCATGCAAGCATTTATTTCACCAAATTTGTTTACACCCACTTCTGGAACAACCAGAACCACCTAGTCCAATTTTCAGACATGAAATACATACAACTAAACAAGTTGAAAAAAAACATTATGTTTTATCTTCATCGAATGATAGAAGAAGAGTTATTAAATGTGCTGAGCGAAATAACGATTGGATGATTCTGGCGCAAACTTTAGGTGTCCAATGAAAGGCGGCATACAATTGGGTCCTCAGCAGAAATTTAAATTTCATTGGAAGAGGTGGTTTTAAACCAAAAAAAAAAACAAATGATCAAAGAAACACTAACATAGATTGAAAGTGACTGTCAGTTGACATTGGTGGCCTTTAAAACAAGGGTATTAAGACAACTTAATTTTAGCGTCAGCACAACCACATTTGCCAATTAGCTCGAAGGCAAACTATTTTTATTTAAAAAAGAGCACAATGAGCCTACTAACGAACACATCACAAATGGTTATCAGATACTTTGGTTGGATGAAACAAATTTTAACCTTTTTTGTAGAAAAACGCAAGGGCGAGCCAAACAAGGAAAAAGAGCAATAATAAATATACCTTCTTCAAAAGGTGCAAACATCCATTTAATTGCAGCTATATCAACAACACATGTCGTCATGATGGAAACTTGCAGATAATCGCTTAAAGCAGTTAATTGTAACAAGTGGATGTTGGCTTGTTTAACCAGTGGGTTACATCCGGGAATCGTTTAGAGAATTTGGTCGCTGTAACAGACAATCCTCCATGTCACGCTCTTTTGGAAAGGGTGTTTGTAAATTTACCGGCTCAGTTGTTACGATTACGACCCTACAGTTTAATGTTAAACTCAGTGGAAACAATCTGGTCCAAATTAAAAATAAACGTTAAAAATATTACTCGCATTCCACCTGTAATTGGTACTGGGATTATGGAACAACGAATGCCGTATTTGGAAAGAATTGTTAATGCGGCAAAAAATACAATAATGGGAGGTGATTGTAAACGCGCTGTACAACATACGACCACGCATTACGCAACGATTTTAAATATGGAAGACGTTCAAATTGGTGCTTAACTGAATTTTGAAATGATTTTTAATGACGTTGCTTAAATTTAAATTTTAAATTTTTTTGTAAATAAATTATTTGTGTTTTATTTATTATTCATGAAATCTTAATTAAATTTTTCCCAAACAAAAATAAAAGAAAGATTTAATTGACACTCAATAGGATTTTTCCAGTTACCGCCCAAACCTCAAATGCCTTTTTTATGACTTTTTATATTTTATTGATATTGTATTATTATTTCCGTCCTTCAATTACTAAGTATATTAGGACTAAAAAATTTAAAAGACAAAGAACTTTGTATTCTTTATACTTTTCTTAATTACAACTATCATTTTCTCAATTACATTTTACGATTTCTTATTTACAGTTTTTATTTTTTTCAATTACATTTAACGTTTCTCAATTACAACTTTTATCTTCTCAATTACATGTAACGTTTCTTAATTACAACTTTCACTTTCTCAATTACATCTTACTTTTCTTAATTACAACTTTTAAGTTCTCAATTACAACTTGAAAAGGTGCGAAAGCAAAGCGGCTGTGGCGCAGTGGTTAGCGCGCTTGCTTTATAAGCAGGAGATCAAGGTTCGAAACGAGCTCTGGACATATTTTCGCATCACGGTAAGGAAGGAGGCGTAAACTTCTTTGTTAAATGCACTTCCGCGGTGCTCTGTGACAAGACCGTTAGGTCGTCTTGGGGCACCTAAATAACAATAATAATAAAAAAAAGCAAGTATGAAAAATGAAGTTCTTGACTTAAAAATTTATATTAGCAGACTGTCTAGTTCTGCTAGAAAAGCATATTGTTCATGCCCTATGGCTGTTTCAAGCAAGGTAAAATTGACATCACGTCTTTTTAGCAAAACGTTTAGCAAAAAAAAAAAACAATTTCTGCATAAAAGTACCAAAATTTACTAACTTTGAAATCATAGTATTTTTTTTATAAAAAATATAAAAGATCTATCTTTCCTTGTTAAATAGATATTTACATTAAACAGAAAAAAAATAGAAGTTGTAAAAATATTGCTAATGATTTGGAATCTTTTCTTTTTTTTGAGATTTTCACAGAAAACCTGTTTTGGGCCAACTAAGATTTGATAACATAGCTATGATGGTTGCAATTTGAAACACTTATCGTTAAATGTCTATTCTATCTAGAATTTTGATGATTTTTATACAAAATGTTAGTTTTTAATGCATTAATATTTTTGTTTTTATTCGTTTTAAATAAAAAAAACAAAATTTTTTGTAATGTCCTTGAAACTAGTAATACTTTAACTCTATGTGAATGTGAAAATCAAAAAATATTTTCTGTATCTCTAGCTATGTTATCAAGTATGTTTTCAAACTTGACATGTTTAGCCCTTACAGAGTTATATAAAATTCTAAAGTGCTTTATGAAAAATTATAAAGTGCTTTATTTAACAATAAATAAATACAATTATAATAGTACAGGTCATTTTCAGAATCATCTAAGAAAACTGTATAGGAACTAAAATACAGTATTAAATTATAATTAAAAATTAAATGACTAACTGGCTGAAAAACATAAACCAAATCAGTAACGTTTTTATCTAAATAATGCAAGTTTTTTAAATTAAAAAATAAAATTTTAAAACCTTACATGGCAAGAAAAGGTCGAGTAACAATAACTAAGAAAATTCATAAAACACTTATAAACATGTCTAATTCGATAAATCATTATTCAACCAAATACATTGCCGAAACTCTAAGCATTAGCCAAAGTGCTGTAAGAAACTGCATAAGAAATCATCAAGAAGACATCAAATTTGCTACTTAGGTAGAACGCCACAAGCAAACAATCAAAAACAAAAATTTGTTGTTCAGTGAAATTGAAAATACTTTATTTAATACAATAGCAATAAATAATGAACTGACACAAAATGAAATGGTAAATAAAGTTAATGCAGAAACCGGTAAGGTAATATCTCAATCAACAGTATCAAGGAAATTGCGGAAAATAAATATAACGCAAAAAAGGCTTTCATTCGTTCCCGAAGAACAAAATTCCCCAGCGAATATTGTAAAAAGAGCCATATATGCCCGCCGTATCTCGCGTAATTCTAGTGATAAATTGGTCTTTTTAGACGAATCAGGATTTAAACAGCATTTGAGAAGACGATATGGGTATTCCCAAAAAAACAAAAAGGCATAATCCATTGCTTCCGGAAACAGAAATAAAAATCGAAGAAATCATCCCACTGGTTATTATACAAAAATACAAATGGTATTGGGGTTAGGCCCAGTTTTGTAACTTAGTTGTGTACATTTGTTTAACCCTTGAACAGTTCCGTGTTGCTTTTAAAATACGGTCGCTATTAGTCCAGCTAATAGCGACCATATTTTTTTTCCTGGAGCAATATTCTTTCGTTATCATTTTTAACAATCATTCGTTTCTCATATTTATTTTTTTCATTATTGATTCATCAAATGTTTAATTTTTCATTTTTTCGTGAGTAAATATTTACTTTTTGATAACTATTTTTGCACTGAAAGAACTTCCTTATTTGTCATATTTAAAATTAAAGTGAACACATTTAGGGTGGAATGCAAGAAGCAAATTTGAGTCAAGTTCGACTTGAACTTTACTTTGTAACCAATAGTGGCAGAGTATTTTTTGAGGGGAAAGCCCATACTCTGTCGCTATTGGTTACAATGTAAAGTTCAAGTCGAGCTTGACTCAAGTTCGCTTCTTGCATTCCACCCTAAATAGTAAATTATTGAAACAAAAGCTCTGTAACTATGTAGTAATAAATTTTGTGACAAGTAGACGAATTACTGATGAACAAGAAAGAAATATAAGGAGATGTAGTATTACGACATGGACATTTGGAAACCATTTTTAGTTCGCGTAATATTATGGCATAGACATTTAGAAACCACTTTAAGTTTGCGCAATATTTCGGCATGGTCTGTTAATGGGTTAGGGGAATTGCTATCAAAAGAACACTTTATTATTAACTTTATTATTAACTAAGTTAATATTTAAGAAATAATATTATTCGTATAATTTATTTTGATTTTGTTTTTTGATAAGCCAGTATATTTTTGGAACAATTTTTTGTCTGTTGACATGTTTTCATAACTAAGGATATATTTTCTTTTATATTGATTTAATTAATTTTGTATTACTTTTTTTTGAGATTCTAAAAAGCGCATTTTAGATTTAAATTCTTGTTTGTTTTTTTTCAATAAATAAATTTTATGTCGTAGGTTAACACAATAACTACATTTTAGCTGCTGTTAACTTTTTTTTTTAACTGCTGTTAACCTCAAAGTCAATTAATTGTACTTTGTTATTAATTTTAATGTCTTCGTTTTCAGAAACATTTTTCTTTTTTAAATTTTTTTTGCTAATATTTGTTAATAACTGAATATTTTCATTTTAAAAATGAAACTCATATACTAAATTTGTATACTTTATAATAAAATTTCATTACCGACAGTGGCATTAGTAGGGGGTGCCGGCAGCTCCGGGCGACACTATCACGACCTGACTCAGAGGGGTAACACCAAAATGAAAAAAAAGCAAATATGACACAACCGCTTTAATTTGTTTTTTTGTTTGGCCAAACCAATAGTTCACAGGTTTTGATTTTTCAATTTTCTTTACTAATAACTGTGTCATTTCTTCATTTCACAAAAAAACTTTTTGTCTTTTATTCAAGATCAAATGATTGTATTTTGTATGCCCAACTTCTTTTTCTAAAGAACCTTTTTTTTTTTTTTTTTAAAAAAAAAATTGAAACCTGTATCGTCGGCCCTGTTAGTAAAATCTAGAGGAGTGACACCAGCCCCAACGACGTCACTAATTACCCATTTTTATTTAAACTAAGAATTAATTTTAGACCACCTGTTACGACGAGCAATATTTATTGAAATTTTATATAATCCAATGCCTGACTTGTTTTCTTAAAAATTGTAAAATGCATTTTTGCATTGTGGAATATACCAATAAACTCCATTGCCTATAAAATCACGTTTTTCAACTTTTTTCAATATAAAACAGGCAAAATCACACATTAAAAGAAATACTAAAAACTGCAGAGTTGTAATGCTTAAATTTTATCATTACCCGAAAACATTACGTCATTTTAAAGCGTTACATCATACGAAAATAAGCGAGCTACAAAATCAGTTTTTATTTGACAAATTGATTTTAATTTCATGCTCGTAACGCCTTTCCTAAAAAGTTAAATCAATGAATGTTGCGAATTTTAATTTTATTCCTAAAACCAACCCTGATAGCAACAACTGATTTATTTCGTAGCTCTAACCTAGAAGAGTCTTCTACGTAAGACCTAGATCTAGGTTCTAAGAAGACACGGAAATTTATAAAGATTGTTTTTAGTAATATGACACACCCCGTATGTAGTAGAATTCTGAGAAATCGTCCTAATAAAAAAAAATCATCCAAACTTTTGAATAGATTAGCGCGTTAAATTGAACGTGAAATTGCGCGTTAAATTGAAAGGCATTGAATTAAATTCAATTTGTCAAATAAATTTATTTGACAAATTGAATTTAATTCAATGCCTTTCCAAAAAAAAAATCGATTAAATGAATTGAACTAAATGATGCAAATTTTCGAACTGATTTTTCAAGTAAAGATGTTTTCACAAAAAGTTTCACCATTCCAATATGTTTTATTATCTTGACAAGTTTATTTAGCTATTGTTATTCCCGCTACCCGGTGGGAAATCGGCTAGCGAATAGCTAGCTATAATCGTTACGATAAAGACAGCGATTTGGCCACGAGGATCGCAAGCTTTTTTAAGTTAGCGAAAAGCTATCAATATTTATAAAAATAAAGACAGTGATTTGGCCACGAGGACAGCTAGCTTAACAAGCTAAAGACTCACAGGCTGTTACAGCTATCGTCATATTGTAACAAAATCGCTATCAAAAAGGTTTTGGTATCTAGCTATTAACCAGCTATAGATTTGTAGATATTTTGTAGCTAGCTATAAAGCTACGATATGTAGCTAGCGACACATTGCTACAAAATCGCAATGTTTAAAGTTCAATTATTCTCATAATTATTATCGACTCAACACTAAAAATCGAATTTTTAAAGATGTTAGAGACATTAGTAAAGAATAAAATAAGAAAACGAAAATCGTTTGAAAATCGCTATAAAGCTAACTAGTCGCTCGCTAGTCGCTAGCTCAATTTCCACCGGGTATTGTCTCTATGAAAATATATATTATGAAAAAAATGTAATTAAATGTTCAAACTCCTTTTTTGACACAGCTTGATTTCTCTTTTACTTTTACGATACATATCTCATACATTATATGTGAAATACACAATGTATGAAGTACATTGTGCTCAGAATTTATGAAATATGTAATTAACAGTACATATTTTATAAATTCTGGGCACAAATAAATTTTACTGCAAATGAATTGCATTATTTAGGTCTAGAACTTTTTGAGAATTATTTTGGAATTGCTATTATTAGGTATGTGACATGAAATTTTTAAATTTACAAAATTTTATGTTTTATATATCGTTGGAAAGACCATTAATACACTATTTTAAAGATGAAAAAATTATAAAAATCGAACAATTCAAAAAAAAGTTATGAGGTTTTAAGTGACGATTTTTGAATATATGTTAAAGAAACTGTGAAAATCAAAACAATTTTTTTTAAGGCAAATTGTTATAACTTTGCCAATTCTTGTCAAAATGTTTATAACTTGGTATCAAAAGGTAGGCGTGAGTGTGGGCTACAAATTTAGTACCAAGCCGTAGGAATGGTAAAAAACAAAATTTATACTTTATCACTAGTATACTAGTAGTAAAGTATAGATTTTATATTTTATGCAAGATTTACTTATTTTATTAGAGATAAAAATTTTCTTTTTAAAGCTGTAGTCTACTTTACAGCTAATGGTTAGTGGTGTAAAATTTAACTTAAGGAGAGGAGCGTGCGCTTGTCCCCCCCCCCTCCCTTGCCCCATAAAAAAGTTATCAAAGTATTTTCAAACGTGAAAATATTATTATAAACAGATGTTTTACCACTTTACGTAAAACAGATGTTTTACCACTTTAAGTATAAACAGATGTTTTACCACTTTACAAGATGCATTAGTTTACCATTTTCGCAGGCGAAAGAGAGTGTGCCGCACCAATAGAAAAAATTGAAAAAAAAATTTAAATAAATTTAGATTAAACAAATATTTTCAATTTAAATGGGTTGTTTACACAAGTGTAGCGACTTGAACAAAAAATTGTACAAATCACAACACGTTACGTTTAGTTTAGTTTGGTTATGTTTTTGCAGGTCACAAAACTTGCGATTAATAATGTTTATTAATGCCAAAAAACAACTCCAAATGTTACGACTTTTATACAAGTCAGAACATTTAGAGTTGATTTTTGGCATTAATAAATATTAAAATTATGAAAACAATACTAATTAACATTCAACACAAATAATACACGTTAACATTAAAAAAAAAAATTAATTCTCCTGATACAACATCTGCAGCCAGCTGGATTTTTTTAAGCCATAATCAACAGTTTTAGAATCAGTTTTAACTTTGAAAAATCTATTTTACAATTTTTTTTATAATTTTTATACTCTACCATCGTATATGACATACTTAGATTGTTCACTATTATACGAATCATGGCATAATCTTCCACCAACAAATCTCTCACACACAACATCATCCAGTTGCTTTGTAGACAATCGTTTATACAAATTCTTAATCTCGCTGAAAGCTTTTTTTTTTGCATATCATATTTGGTGCTTGCAAGTCTATCTCTTATAAATTACAGATGGAATTTAAGCATGTTGTAGGCGATTTCTCTTTTTTTCTTTAACTGCTGTGCAAATGGACCACTTAACTACATTTATCAATGGACCACTTATCTACAAAATGCTGCTCGCAGAGCAGCTTGCAAACTACCACATTTTAATGTTTCAGTAATCAGAAAATGTAAAAAAATCAGCATAGTGTTTAATAAAAATAAATCAAGCATGAAAAAGAATATGAAGACGGTTTTCTTGATATCTAGGGATAATACGGCTTGAGAGTTTTTTGTGGTTTAAAAAAATTACAAATCCCAGCGGATCACCTTTGTCATCTTTAAACCTCATCTATTCACAACCAAAACAATTTTGACGGCGACACAATCGTTGCCAAATAATTTACATTTTTCTGTCTCAAGAGGGTGAAAATAACAATTCAATTCATTCAGAGTTGTAATCCAAGTAAATTTATTTCAGAGGGAAAAAAATGTTTATAAAAATAACATTGAAAATCTTTTTCCATTTCTGCGGTCATTTTTTAATAACTGCTTTTTATCTAAAAGAATATATAACAGTGTCAAGTTTCTCAAATCATGGTTTATGATTCAATTCAATTCAATTTATATATATTCTGAAATAGCTGTTACATTCACGGAAGTTTACAAATAGTACATGTACAAATCTTAAGTAAAAACCTTCTAAATAAAAGCTAATAAATATATTGATTAATGCAAATAGTAATATTAATCATCCACAGCAGTAACAAAACAAACATTAAAAGTTGAAGGAGTAAAAATACTAATAAAGATAATAATAAAAGTTGTAGTTGTAACAGTAATAACAATACAATGACAAAAGTACAGTGATTATAATAAAAATAAAATGACAGAAATAAAAATAATTACAATAATCATAAAAAAAATACTATTAATTTAGTATTAGTCACATAAATACACACATATACAGACACATACAAATACACACATACAAACACACATACAAACTTACGTTCACAAATACATATAAACACATATACTTTTATTCCCCTGTATTCAATACAGGTATGTATACATTAATTATATAAAAACATAATATACACCCATTTATGTAGATTCGTATATACTATACACAAATAAAAGTATATACACACACGTACATATACATACACACATACATATACACACATACATAAACATATACAAACATAGCATAACATAACACGCATACATACACATATACAAACATGAATACATATACACACATTTAATAATATTATATATGTATATATTATATACACCAACACATTCGCATCCACACACACACACACTCACTCACATATATATACACATACACACATACATATACATACATATACACTCACCACTTATTCACGTGTGTAACACAAACACTTAAACACAAATACATATCTTTGGATTTATTAACTGTATTTAATTAGAAAAGAATGGAATAGGTTACTTTTAAAAATATAGATTGAATGGAGAACTTTTAGGTCATAGGGAAGGTTATTCCAAGATTTTATACTTTGGTTTTTTATGGACTTATATCCATAAGTAACAGAACGATGTTTTAAGACTGCAAGATTCAGTCGCATGAAATTTTTTATAATTGAAAAAAAACTCATCTAAATAGATTCTTTTTGAAAATTGAAAGAGACTATTTGATGGTTCTTTTTTTTAAATGCTCATAATGATCCTAACCTTTTAAATACAGTTAACAGCTTGTTATATATTTTTGTTAAATATAAAATTGTCTTCAAAATTATGATATTTCACAATTTGTTGCTAAGGAATAAAGTTGGTCTTATATTAAAAAAATAAATTTAAAATTGGGGTTTTTGTACTCAATATTTTCAACACAATCTTACTATTTACTATATAATTACTTCTATTACTACTCAATATTTGCAAAAGACAAGCATTACAAACTTTAAAGCAAAGAATATTTATAAAGCATGAAGTTAAAACAAACAAAAAATAAATTTACCTCCTTACTATCCTAATAGTCTCCATTTATGCTATATTAATTATGTTATTTTAAAAGTTGCAGTTTTTTTTTTAGTCCACTTAAAAAAATATCTAAAAATAATAACAAAATAATTGCATATTCAAAAATAGTTTGATAAAGCACTTTGGTAAAATAAACTAAATTTTGTAAAAGTTTACTTAATATTGTCTCTTAATTACAAAAAAAAAATGCATTTCATTATAATTTTTTCACAACATCATAAAAACCATAAGTATTTCTACTACTTATATCGGCTAATAGTATTAACATGATTAATTAACATCAACTTAATATCAAGAATCTCAAAAAAAAAAAAAAAAAAAAGAAACTTTACAACATACAAGTTCTTATGAAATTAAAAAGCTATTTGTAAAAATTGTTACACTTTAAGATATAAATTTGAACTAATAATATTTTTATTTGTGAATTTATCCGGAAATTGAAAATTAAATATTAAAACTAAGTTAAAACTAAATTAAAACTAAATTAAAAATAAGGGAAAAATTTAGAAAAAACACTTTATTTGAAATGTCTATTTTATTTTATTTTAAGATAGAGTTTTAATTATTTGTTGTTTAAAAATTTGAACTTAAAAAATTTGAATTTTTACTTGTGAGGATTTTTTTTCCATCTTTATTTTTTAACATGAAAAGAAGACTATTTTTAATTATGCAGAAATTGCAGGTATGCTACAACTATATAATTTATTTTTTATAGGTACTTGTCACACAAGGAGCATGCAAACATTATTCAAGTATGTTTTTTTATTCTTAGTTTTATTAATATGTAAACCTCTATTGCTCAAAATGTAATTTTTTTTTTTAAGTTTTCCAGTGATTTTATGTGATCCTGTTTTTATTGCATAAAAAATTACATTTTGGACAACTTCATTTCTGTGTTCAATTTTTTCTAACTTTTTCGAATTTGTAACTTAAATGTACTATTGGTCACCTAAAGGAACAAGTATAACATAAAGTCTTTGCCATATTTTGCTTGAATATTTCATTATATATTTTTTTTATTTAAATACTTTTTGTGTTAATATAACACTTGAACGCATTTAATTGAAATGCTCATAAGCAATTTATTTAATGAAAATAACTAGATAAACTAGAATAAACTGCTACTTTTATTTTTGACTTTTTTTTAAATGAAATGCTTGAATTACTCTTTAATACATAGCACTGTGATTAATAGTAAATAGTACATTTAGTACGTAGTCCTTTAACTTTTTAATATTATTTACCGATATACTTGATATTTGTTACAAAAGATTGCCATTATTTAACTGCAACTATTTATCACTTGACTGCAACTTTTTATTGTTTTCCTTATATAATATAAAATCAACAATACACAGAAAAAATAATAAAGTATATTATTTTTACATAACATAATTGCAACAAATTATTATTTACAAAACATCTTTCGATACAATCTAAATGCTATATTGTTAAATCTAAAAGTAAGAAAAAGGTGACCAATTATATTTTTCTAAAAAAAGTAAACAATATATATATATATATATATATATATATATATATATATATATATATATATATATATATATATATATATATATATATATATATATATATATATATATATATGTATATATATGAGTATATATATATATATATATATATATATATATATATATATATATATATATATATATATATATATATGTATATATATATATATATATATATATATATATATATGTATATATATGTATATATATATATATATATATATATATATATATATATATATATATATATATATATATATATATATATATATATATATACACTTGTATAAAGAACAACAACAATTTTAATCCTTATAAGTTTTTCAAACAAAGTAAATAATAAAAAAAAAACATTCTCTGCAGCCATAATATAAACAGAGTTCATAATAAATAAACAAGATTCTTCATGTATCTTTTTCTATAAGTCATAGTTGTCAACGACTTACTCACGAGAATCTAAGCGTGTCTTTTCCAGGTGTTATTGATAACAGCAGATCAATCAAATTAGAATCATTGAAAAGATTTTCAGCTAGTGGAGGTTGATAAAGGGGAGGCTGTTTTGGAGAGTTTTCAGAAAAGGTATTGGTAAGTCCATATTTCTCAGTTGTTAACAGTTTATAAGGGTAAGAAGGTTTATTAAAAGCAATTTTTGGTGAAAATTCAATATGATTTGTTTGATCATTGATTGGAGCGGAACTTGTTGGAGCTAAGTGTCTTAGGGAAACTATGGTTTCTCTTCCATCTGGGTACCTTATGTGAGCATATTGAGGATTAGCAGCTATGAGTTAAAACCAGTGGTTCATATTTATTATTACGTAAATGTCTTTTCATTATTATTGGCCCAGGATGACATAACCATGATAGTACAATGCATCCAATGGCTGCTTTATGAAGGTGCTTTAACATTCTTTTATGAAATGTCTTCATTGATTTAGTCTTTATTAATGATCTTATAGAATGGAGAACATCTGGCAATACTTTTTCCAAAGCTTTGATGGGTAAATTGTGTTGTCTAGTAGCAATCTCAATAGACTTCATTATGGTTCCATTATTTTTTCTGCTTGACCATTTTTCTTGGGGATTATATGCTGTAGTATGATTTGTTGCATTACCTTTCTCTAGTAAGTATTGCTTTAATTTTTTACTGATAAAGGCTGAACCTCTATTGGAATGGATATAATTTGGCAAACCAAAAACTAAGAATACTTATGACAAACACTTAATTACAGTCTGAGATAAAATATCAGGGCACGGGATTGCAAAGGGAGAACAAGAATACTCATCAATTATGGTTAAAAAATACTTGTTATTAGTTTCTGAAGAAAGAGGTCCTTTAAAATCTAAGTTCAAACGTTCCAGTGGTTGTATCGCCTTTATCAAATTAGATTTTAGTGGTTTGTAGTAACTAGGCTTACACCCGGTGGGAAATCAGCTAGCAAATAGCTAGCTATAATCGTTATGATAAAGACAGCGATTTGGCCACGAGGATCGCTAGCTTTTTTAAGTTAGCGAAAAGCTATCAATATTTGTAAAAATAAAGACATTGATTTGACCACGAGGACAGCTAGCTTAACAAGCTAAAGACTCACAGGCTGTTACAGCTATCGTCATATTGCAACAAAATCGCTATCAAAAAAATTTTGGTATCTAGCTATCAACCAGCTATAGATTTGTAGATATTTTGTAGCTAGCTATAAAGCTACGATATGTAGCTAGCGACACATTGCTACAAAATCGCAATGTTTAAAGTTCAATTATTCTCATAATTATTATCGACTCAACACTAAAAATCGAATTTTTAAAGATGTTAGAGACATTAGTAAAGAATAAAATAAGAAAACGAAAATCGTTTGAAAATCGCTATAAAGCTAACTAGTCGCTAGCTCAATTCCCATCGGGCATTCACAACATAATTTGCACCAATTAGTTACTAGTTTAACATCATTAATTGAGAAAGGTAAATTACAATTTTTAATAAAAGCATAAAATCTAGTTACTCCAGGATGACAGAGTGATTGATGAAACTGATTTAAGTTGTCAGTGTTTATTGCTGAGCAATATATTCTAGAAAATGTGTCAGCTGGGATATTTAATTTCCCTTCCCTGTAAACAATGTCATTGTAATAGCAAGATAGTTCAATTTTCCATCGATAAATTTTATCAGTTTTAATTTTTTATTTATGTTGCTTTTCGAAGATATAGGACACAGGTTGCTGATTGGTAATAAGTCTAAAATAGTGTCCAGTAAAGTAGTTTTTCCAATGTTTGACTGCTTCTACTAATGCACAAGCTTCTTTCTTAGTAGAGGGATATTTGAGCTCAGAATTTTGAAGTCTTCTTGAAAAAAAAGCAGCAGGGCATCCATTTTGATTAAGAACTGGAGCTATAGCAATCTCAGATGCATCAGTTTCTATTTTAAACGGGAAATTTTTGTCCACATAATCTGTCACAACGCTTACAATGTCTTGTTTAAGTTGATTAAAGTACCAAGTACCCATTAAATTATCATTTACACACTGATAATCTAATGGGTACTTGGTGTTTCTGGTAAGAGAAGCTATTTTGTCGGAAAAGTTTGGAATCCATTTAGATTAGTATGAGAATAGTCTGATGAAGCTCTTCATGGTTTTAGCTTCATGAGGAGGAGGCATCTCTTTTCATAGGTTGAAGACAACTGGGATATGGTTTGATTTCTCCTTCTTCTATAAGATAACCAAGAATGGAAATTTTATTTTGGGAGAAGCTACATTTATTATGATTATATGTAAGATTTATATTTTTAGCTGACTTGAAAAATTTTTCCAGATTACTATCATGCTCCTCATGGGTTTTATCACCTATTGTCACATTATCTAGATAAGCAAATGTATCTAAAAGTCCTTTTCTTTCTATGAATTTATTTATGGTAAGCTGAAAAAAAGCAACACCATTTTCAATTTCCAAAGGCATTCGCTTAAATTGAAACAACCTCCCATTTTCTTCAAAAGCTGTAAACTTTCTATCATTTTCGGTGATTGGAATTTGATGGTAAGCGGATTTCAAATCTGAGCAATTTTGTTTATTAGATCATAAATCTTTGTTATTGGGTAAGCGTCTAGTGAGTATACTTATTTATTTATTGTTTGACTGTAGTCAATGACTAATCTTTTCTTAGAGCTTTAGTTACAACTACCTGAGCTCTCCAGGGAGAATTTGAATGTTCAATGACATCCTCTTTAAGCATACGTTGTACTTCTATTTCAATGAATGACTGGTCTTCCTTGCTATATCGACAAGATTTTAAAGCTATTGATTTACAGTTAGGCAATAAATTGCCAAATAAACTAGGTGGAGATACGTTCAACTTCGACAAACCCCATTTTAATAGTGGGAGTCTTTTTCCTTCAAATTGAAGGGTTACAGCTTTGTGTTGTTTTTGAAAATCAAGACCCAGAATAACATTCATGCATAACTCATTTAAGATGTTAAGTTTCACTAGTTTATAATGTTCGCTTTTTATTGAAATATTGACAAAACTGCTCCACAAATAGTACTAGATAAAGAAGATGAAGCCATAGATACCTGTTTTTGGTTGTGTCTATGAACTGTTAGGTTTAGTTTTTGTACCAATTGAGGATGAATAAAACTATTAGTGCTATCACTATCAATGAGAGCGTTTACAATTGAACCATTAACCAAAATACAAATTGTTGATTTAGTCAAAGCTGAAATGGAAGCAGAAATATTTTTTAAATTAGTTTTATGTTCAGAGTAGTCTAGTCAAGTAAGTGAAGGATTATATGAGTTCAAAGGTTGATCAACTAGGTTCATCCCTGCTGTTGTAAGTTTAGAAGATTTACATAACTTTGTAAAATGACCAACCTTTTCACATTTAAAACAAAGCAACTCTCTAGCAGGACAGACAACTTTAGCATGTCTTTGATTCCCACAGTTCCAGCAATTTGAAACAGAATTTGAGTTAAATTGCTTTGGCTTTTTTGTTATAGCAGCTACTGTTGAGTCTAATGTACTATACTGGAGTCAATTTTCAGCATTTTTTTGTGCTGATTTCAAGGTTCTTTTTTTTGAAAACATTTCATCCAGACTTATTGTACTGTTTTCTAGTAGTCGCTATCTGACAATTTGTGAACTTATCCCTGTTATAAATGCATCTTTAATATAATCATCGCGATATTCAATAGCAGACATTTGTTTAAAGTTACGTTCTTTTGCTAAAACTTTAGGAGCATGTAAATATTCATCAAAACTTTCTTACATGTTGCCAAGAGGTGTTGCGCATAAACCTCATTCAATGATTTAATGTACATAGATTGTAAAGCCTGTATTGCCGCTTCATAATTTGGACATTTGCTTATTGTTACAAACATTGGGCACAACAAAATTAGTCAGGATTTTTAACTTGTTGAGTTCTTGAAGAAGTTCATCAAGATAATACTCAAATGTTCTGAGCCAATGTTTAAATAATTTTTTTGCAGAAGGTGAGTTGGGTAATGTATCCAAGCAAGAAGGTCTTACGGC